TATTTTTCGACGTCCTGAATTTGATTCCGAAGTCCGTTTTGCCAAATTCTGACCCGAAATTCCCGAATCGAGCTTGTAAACCCAAAAGGCTTAATATTTTAATATTTGATTATTTAAACGATATTTGGTAAAGGATTTATTCAATAAAATATTTTATGAAGGTACTCGTGTTTCACCTGAACAAGGATCAATTAGGTCCGGATTATCCGTTCGTTAGATCAGCCTGAACCGCGTACTACGAGAATTACCCGTAGGTTTCTGTATATTATTTAAATAATATTTAGATTATTTATATTAGGATTCCAATATGGATTTTTCCAATTCGTAGGATCTAGCGCTGCAGCAGAACGTGATCGACAGACCCAGCAATAGGCTTCCCTATCTGATTTCTCAGACTGTTACAGGTGTGTTTCCCGACAGTGTTAATTATTTCTGTTTTAAAATATACATCTGAACATTATGTATATGACATCTGATTTGCCACATATTTCTGAAATGAATTCTGGTTACGGTATTTTATACCGATCTTCTGAATATTGAATATTCGATATCTGAAATTCTGTATACTACTGACTTGTCTTCTGATTTCCGTATTTCTGTATATTATTGTTAAGCATGAACACTTTTATGTTTTAAAGATTTAATCATTGTTTTCATTCAAATACATTCATGAACATCTCCATCATTGGGGGGTATCGTTGAAGGAAGTATATCCGTAGGTTCCTCGGCTTTGTGCTCAGGGCCTTATTTGTTGTGTGGGCTGGGTGTATGGTTCTGGGGAACCTACACATTCTGTTGTGATGGGCTGGGGGTAGTGTTCATATTTTTTTTACGACATGATTGCATAAACCGACTTTACTGGAATATTTTTATCAGTATGTTTTTATATACACTGTATGGAACACACTGGGCTTTTTAGCTCATTCTGTAAATTTTAACATTTTTCAGATAACAGCAGACCGTAAGCTAGCAGATTTGGCATCAGGAGAAAATCAACTACTTTATTTTGTACGAACATATATTTATATGTTTTTTTTGGTTATGTTTGGTGACATGTATTTTATTATCGTTTTGGACATATTTGTATTATATATTATGTTCTATATTATATTTATCGTCCTATAAGTGGAAAAAAAAAAAAAAAACCTCTGAATGGGATATGTGACCACTTAGGTTTGGGTCTAACTCACAGACCAGGTCTAGGGGGTTACACACTTGTTTCCCATTCAACCGACCAGTCCGGTCTGATTCGAACAACAATGGTCTGTAATTTACTATAATTTCCCAATAGATTGTTTTCGACTCCGGTAAACTTGATCAATCACCAACTAACAATCATTCAACAAAAGCAAATTTATATTGGCAAATGCAATGAAGCGAGTTATAAGCTCAATATAGGGCATAGGCTTTCCCCTCAAGAATATAAATGTTTTCAACAATCTTCCCCAACAAGAACAAAGTAACGTCTGCATATCAAATAATGATAGATTACACATGAGAGCAGCCTCATTCCATTTGCTTCAAAACCTCGACAAATGCATCTTTGAGGAATGGATTTGAAGCAGCAACTTTTGGAACTGTGATTTCGAAATCTTTACCAAACCTGAACCAAAAAAAAAAGCCGAAACCAGTTAACATCAAATATAAACTTTCAGTTTAGATTACAAAATGAAATACAAAGATATGCTTGGTTAAACGTGTTAGCTTCATACGGATCATAAACAAGGCCTCCAGCTTCTTTAACGATTAAAGCACCAGCTGCCACATCCCTGAACAAAGAGGCAGACACTGTCAATTATTTACCGAACTCTGACCTTCATCAAATATTGAAATGATTAAAAACATACCATGGGCCACCATAGCCAAGTTCGTAAAACAGGTCAAGCCTTCCACATGCGATTCCACAAAGGTTCAATGCACATGAACCACTCATCCGAAGTGATCTCACCTTTTATTCAAAGAAAATCGCTATGTATTTCTAGTTTGCACATATAGTAACAAAGAAGGAAAAAATCACCAGTTTCAGGTTACCTTGAAAAGTAAGTTATTGATTCGATTTGTAGTAGTATCCACCGTTAACACATCTCGTTTTGTCCAACCTGCTCAACATGAAAAATTTAGTCAAGCTTTTACATCCTTACAAAACTCTCCTATCTTAATTATGTCGAATAGTCCCTACTATTATCAGCTAACAACCAGCCAGCAGTAACATGATAATATTTTCTAATACAGGATTAGAAACTGGAGCCAAACATTACGAAGTTCAGTTACACCCAACAAAGAAACAAATAAGTTAAATGAAATTTCAGATCAAAATAAGCTCCAAACCTCTGTTGCAAGTAGAGACTTAACGAGTTCGTTTTGAGATGACACTGCAAAATTTCAGAGCAGAAGAACAAATCTTTAAGAGATTTCAGTTCAAGTTTAAGGACCTATATATAGTAATCATAGAGCATTAGATTCACCTTTTATAGGGGTCCCATTGAGAAAAGCACCTTTTCCAAGTACAGCAGTAAAGAGCTGCATGCCATAAACCCGGTAACATATGTTTAACTTGTGATAAAGAAAGACAAAACTCTAGATTTAAGCTTTTTTTAAAAGTCTTCTTAAAGGGCAATTCTCACCTCATTCATTATTGGATTGTAAACAACACCAACTGTAGGAGCTTTCCCAACAGTAAAACCAATGGATACGCACACGAATGGAAACCTACACAATTGCAAACGATCAACATGAAAATGACCGAACACGAACACCAAAGACTTGAATATAAGACAAGTAAAAAAAGCCTTTACCGTGCACAAAATTAGTTGTTCCATCAAGAGGATCAACTATCCAAGTAGGCTCAGTCAGCTCTGATGTACCAAAAGCAGCAGTGGTTTCTTCCCCAATGAACTAAAACAAACAGCATTTACTTCCGAGAACACTGTATTCGAACCTTGATAGATACATGGTAGTAATTAGATAAAGAAAAATCGCTAACCTTATGAGAGGGTAATGCTGCTTCATATGATTAAAACAAGGTCCTCACATGCCTTATCAGTCTCTGTGACCAAATCCACCTGGATTTAGATCAAATAAGCAACTTTTAAGTAGCCATTTTCATTTCTAAATAGGAAAGTAGTAGTTTCTACAATTTAAAATATAGAATCACAATCAATTTGAAATGTAGTGAAAAATCAACCCAAGAACCTCTAATAAGATTAGATAAACACAGTTTCATCAGCTACTCTAGCACTAATCAACGAGTGCATTAGTTTAACCATAATAATAAACCAACATTAATAATTTTAAATACCCTTATCAGCATATATGTTTTTCATAGTAAGCTAACCAGAAATGACCAAAAAAATAAAGAATTAGAGAGAGAAAATAAAGAAAGACCTGGCCTTTATGCTCCACGTTCTTGGTTGGTAAATCCTTTACGAATTATCTTTAAAACATCGAATAAAAAAGGTGAGAGAAATGAAGTGAACAAATCGATGAAGTAAATTGCGAAAGAAGAAGAAAATGAAGATGAAACTTTTTTTAATGAACCTCGCCGGCTTTCTTAGCTGCATCGACTGCAGTTGCCAAGAACTCTTCATTGGAACCTGAAATCCACAGAATTTACGAAAGAAAAAGGATTATGAACAAGAAATCGAAATCCCAGAAAGGGAAATATAAATAAGATAAAGAAAAAAAATAGAGAAAAGCGAATTAATCAAGTTCCTACCATTGTCAGCCATGTTAAAATGGTTGGTTACAGAGAATTTAAGAAATAATAATCGATGATGGATTTGTGGGTGTTTTGGAAATCGGGTAGGAGAGAATTTCAGATACGAAGAACAAGCAGCAGAGTTAACAAACAAAAGGAGACTCGTGTGCTGGTTTATACTATTTACTGGAAATAAATGCCCTTTACTTCTTCACATTATTCTGTGATTAATAACTGTACTAGATTTACGTATGGTTTTTAATTTGATTATTTTTAGTATTTTAACTAAAATACATAAATCAAGCAAATTCGAATATAAGTGCTAAATTACGACTTCATATAAACAGGGACTAACAACAGAATTGACCTTTTACTTATCCCGTGATGAAACTGTAGCTGTTGCAAGATCAAAGGAGATTCGGCGAATGCTCCAATGTGCCTGCCACCCATTTTTCTGATTTGAAAGCTACATGAAACGAAAACGGGACATCAACTGAAGGTTCCTTCCCAACTTCCCTTCTAAATCCGATCAGACCAATTTTTTATCAATAGGTTAAATTTTTATTTTACCTTCAAAACAAATAATAATTCGCATCAGATAATGTCACGCATACTTTGTACCTAATCTTCATTATGATACATCAAGGTCGATTTGTAGTAACATCCATTCTATGCTTAAACCAATACGTAATTAAATCAATAAAATAACCGATTACTGATTCAATCCACTGATATATTCGATTCTGCTTTTATCAGCATTAGTGTTAGTCGTAATAGTATACGTTTCATCAACAAATGTGTTTCCTATTTGCAACATTGCTTTAAAGTTTGAACTTAAACAATATTTATGCCTTATTCAATTCGAAATTTCGAATCTCATAACTACCAAATAGATAACTGTAAACAATCCGTGTGCCAATCCCTGGAAGTACGGTCAATGCACACCTGGAAGAACGGTCAAATTTGGAACGGTGAGCACATAACCATTAACAACCAGAACAAGCATTAAGAATCACCAATGTAGAGCTGAATCGATCTATCTCGATTGATCGAATCATCTTATTCCAATACATAATATTATGTTATATCCACCCTACCTATCGTTTTTTTTTGGTCAGCCGATGTTTATGTCGGCAATCATCCCCACACACAGAGACAATAAGATTCTATGACCGAGGAAACAGAAATGAAAGCCTTCTTTTTTACATATTACATGCCCTTCCGAAAGTACTACAAGTCTACGACTAGGAGATCGTTATTCGATTCTGAGTATACAAGAGCTCACTCTGGCCGGTCTCTAAGCTCAAGGGAAGCGATTTCTTTCACACTTGAGCCTTGTCTGCCTCAAACGTTCATCCTCTGCACGACATGATAATCCATCAACACTCCAAACTATAATAGGAATTGCTGAGCCTAAATCTATTTCAAGCAAAAGTAATGTTACATGTGCTTCTTATTCGCACCTTTATCGGTCTTGAAGTCTGCAAACAAACGTAGAAGCTTGCTTTTATTTGCAACCAGTATGCTAAAAATGTCTGGAGGCTTGTTCTGGTTCGCAGCAAACAACTGTCGAGACATACACAAAGGATATTGTAAGCAACTTAATGTATCAAGAGTGCCCCGGAGGAGAAGAAATTAGCACCGTACCTTGAAACATGAAAAGCTTCTATTTGGATGCTCTTGCTCGATTCCTGTGTATACATGAATTCACCGTTTAGTACTTTAACATTGTAGTTGATCTTTAATACTTGAATAGGAAATCTCAGAAGTTGCAGCTACATGCATAATCATATATTTGTTAATATATGCTGCACATTTTTACAATAGTCGATAGTGACTCATCTGAGAGCTATTTCATGTAGGATAGTATAATAGAATAACATCCAACACATCAGAGTCTTAGAAAATTTGATCGTTCCATAGTAATGAGGGATAAAGAAAAACGAAAGCAAGACTGAGAAGTTTTCATACCCTTAGAAGATTCATGAGAATCCTTAAATTATCCCTTGAGCTCACGTATCTGGTCATGACTCAGAATTTGACCGGTCCAACAAATATCTCCCAACAACTGTGGCATTAAGAGAGGAAATATAATTATGACAGGTCTCCTTAGCAAAGAAAATTACAACTGCAATTACTACTGCCATATCTTATTTAGCAAACTTAGAAATAAACAGCCATACTACTATGTCAACATTTAAATAGGAACTTCAATTTGATTGAGATATAAAATCTAAACCAGCACTTTTGGTCATTCATCTCTTAGCAACTATTGATGTTAAATCCCAGAATGGTGCCACTATTATTCCATTATTCAAACTTATTAGAACTTATACTTTCAGTTTGAATCAGCAATGAACCCTTTGGCATACTAATGTGAAGTAAAGCATGTTTAGAAGCACCAACCTTTTGTTTTGATTGGGAGGAAATTGAAGTAATACTCGTTTTCTTTTTAATTTATGAAGGGTCGTACCTTGATTGCTTGTCTTCTAGTAATATAGTTGCTAGATTCCAGCAACTTCGGTTATATTCAGCAAAGAACTGAAACAACAAACACGGCTGAGTTCATGAGCTTCAATAAATAAAAACTTTCAAACATAAAAAGGCATGGAGATGAAATTTAGAGAATTCTATTGTAGCTATCTTTAGCATCATTACAATTAAACCTTGTGATTGAAACATCTAGTCAAACATGGAAGAGAATAATGTGCTTCTAATGGAACAATTTACAAGCTCTACCAATAATTATGGACTGACATGATTCTTCAAGTATAAAATAACAAATTCACAATTTAAGGACAACGATACAGGAGGAACAACACTTACCCAGTCATAGTTCCTAGAAAGAAACTCAGCCACAGTGGACTTATGCCTTGTCAAGAGCTCCTGCAAGAAAACATAATGTTACATGACATGACATCTGAAGTTTACACGATATTTTTATGAAGAAAGAACGGAGGAATTCATGCCATGATGACTCAACATCAACAAAACAACTTTCTTGATGTACTGAAAATGAAAAGACCTCCGTTTTAACAATATAAGATTGAAAAGCAAATCAGATCCCTACTTCAAAACAGGTTGTTCTGAAACAGGATTCATTGCAAATGCAGATTCAGAAGTGCAACAAGAAAATACAGAAAGAAACTGAGAGAAGAAAGAACGATTATTTTAACATTAATTAGATCTGCAGTTATCAACCTTAAAAGTTGCAGCAGCATCAGCAGAAATATCGAAATTTGGAAGTTGTATATAGTCAAAAAATTTCTTCATGTGCTGTGACTCCAAAACACATCTGTTAAAAAAATGACAAAACGTGTTACAGTCAGGAATTAGTATATCAGAAAATCTTCAATTATTTTGATTTCTTTTACTAAAAAATTACGAGATGAGGCTCCCAATAAAAATGTAAAGGAAAAAGGAAAAGCTTTCAAATGTAAGTAAGGACAAGATTGCCTCTTGAGTACAAACATTTTGAAAAACATTGGCGGATTAGATAGAGGAAGTAGAAATGACTTGGGGCATCATATATTCACTAAAGGTTAAGAAGCCAAATCATTAAGGTATGAATTAACTAGGTCGATGACTATGTACCTTGCAACAGTCTGATTCCGTATGCATTCTCTCAACATTGTACCATAATGCAAAGCCATGTCTGGTTCTCATAACTGAAAATACAAAACTTAAGACTTAAAAGATAATAGATACAAAATAAGCTCAATTTGACAGCATAACCAAAAGGCAGCATTATTAGATCTCATACACAATATTGAATTCTAGCTTCAATATAAACCAGGCAAATGTTGGAACACATGTGATTTGGTCAATAAGTAGAATCCATTAACAAAGTACCTCCAAATTTGTTTTTCTTAATTAAAGAATAAAACATAATACTGAAAACCATCATAACTCATAATCTTAGCTCTTGCCTTATGTTGATGAAAACAACAAAGAGACAAAGATACAAGGAGCTAATAAAGTCATACTGAACTCTAACACCAACAAGAAAATTAAAAAGATAGTAACAGAAGATCTTAACATCTGTAAATCTTTTCAGATTGCCACTTACCCTGCTATTAAAACATCCATGAGATCCTTCGCCTCCAAGTAATCAGAAGCAATCAACCGTGAATTCACTTGTTGCCTTTGCAAATTTGCAACAACTTGAGTTGCATCTTTCCTCGCCTTCCTCTCGAATTATCAAAGTCCAAAGAGCAACAATTAAAATAAGTTCAACACAGCTGCAATAATAACTCACGCTACGGTAAATTTGGTTATCAAAACCAAATCATAGTAAATCCGTATCTTGGTTTTAAGGGCGCAAGGCGCACCAAGGCACAAAAGGTCCCTGGAGCCTAGACGCAGGTGCGCGCTTTTCATATGCGAGGCGCATTGTTTTGAATATTAATATATATCAAGTGTAACTATTTTGTACTCAAATATCATGATA